CGCCCACTCGTGGCACAACCAATAGAAGAGTCCGATCCTAGTTCGTTAACCAAATGGATCAGCCTCCGAGAAGACACTTGGGCGGCGGCCAAGGATGCGCTTTGGACGAGTCGTGTGCAGCAAGCACTCCATCACAACAAACATGTGCGCTCGACAGATCCGGTGGAAATGGGTTCGTGGATGCTTTTGGACTCAGCAGACTGGAAAGGCAAACACATGGGAGGGGTGGCGAAACTGAAAGAGAAGTTTGAGGGTCCCTATCAGGTGGTGAAATCCTTCAATCACGGTCAAAACGTGGAGCTCGACTTACCGGAGGGTGACAGACGGCACCCAGTGTTTCACATTTCGAAGGTCAAACCCTACGTGGATCGGGAGGATGAAGGAGGTGCACCGTTAGGACGAGGATTACAAAAGTAAGTTCCTTCCAAAGTATGCACCGCCGGGTCTCTACTACCCCAAAAGTTGTCAAAAAAAAAAAAAAAAAAAAAACATACCTCGGCCACTCTGTGAGCACAAATTCTTCGACGTCTTGCCCATTAGGTCTTCACGAGGACAACTTTCACGGACGACCGGGATACACATTCGATTTTTTTTCTTTCTTCTCTTTTCTTTTCTTCTTTATTTCACTTTATCATTTTAGTTTCTTTTTTTTTTTTTTCTTTATTTCTTTCAATTGAAGTTATGGTTTTTTTTTGATTTTCTCATTTCTTTTTTCTTTTAAATAGAAACCTTTTAGTAGGATTATGTTTTTTTGCTTTTCTATTTCTTTTTTCTTTTTACTTTTTATCAACTTATTGACGTCTATCCTTTTCATAGGAGGGAAGACTGTAAGACCTACGGTCATTACATTACACATAGATCAAAATACTTAATAATTAGGACTTAAACTTAAGGATGCTGTTTCGTTATATATATTGTTTTCAAATTCTACTCCTGGTTCCTTAGTGATCTGGGACTGACTTCCCACCTCATATCCTTCGGAACCAGGTACGTCTTATTTCTTTTCATTTTCTCTTACTTTGTTCTATAGTTGTGGTTATGATGGTTAGAGTGATCTGGGACTGACTTCCCACCTCATATCCTTCGGAACCAGTCTCCTTTACTGGGATCTCTGTTGGTTTGAAATATAAAAAGTCTCTTGGGTTCTAGAAACCCTGTCCTGCTGTGCCTCACAGCGTCCCTGTTATTGTGATCTCGAGTGAAGGTCATACAGACCTTACATGTATGTCAGGTGGAGTTACCAACTGGAGTGGCTTGTGGTGCTTGTATCATCCCCGAAAAGTCATCAAGCACCAAGGGATTAATCCGACATCTGAACCGTGTGCACCAAATCTTTGAGACTACTCATCCTGATAAGGTCAACTTTGGAGAGCGTGGCACAATGTCATATGTGAGTATTTTGTGGTTCTCTTTACCTTTCATGATACTAATCTAATATGGTAACATCTAGCATCGTCAACTGACTCGCAAGTCTGTGAAGGATGGACTATTGAAATTGATCATTCAAGAGGAGTTACCATTCACCACCATCGAGTCCGCTGCGTTTCGTGATTTCATTGAGCTATGCAACCCTTCAGTCCTTCCAATGATGGTGAAGTCAACCAGCATCTCTGAGGCTATCATGTCTCGCTTCCGCTCAAATCAAGTCAAACTCAAAGACCTGCTAGCCTCTCAGCCCTACATCAGCCTCACTTGTGATTGTTGGACATCTACCAATGGCCGCTCAATCTTTGGTATCACTGCGCACTGGATCACCAAAGACTTCAAAACTTGTGAAGCTATCATTGCCATGAAGCAAATCATTGGTCACCATACTGGTGCAAATCTAGCGGTTCATTTACTCGATGTTCTTAATCAATACAACATTACAGATCATGTATTCTGTATCACTGCGGACAACGCCTCAAACAATAATACGATGGCACTTCAACTTCAACACCTCATACCCCAATTCTTCGCCGAAGAACATCTTCTTGGTTGTCTAGCCCATGTTATCAACCTTTCTGCACGTGCTGGATTGAATGTATTTTCAAAACACTTAGGTCCACATGTTCCAAGTGTCCCTGTCTCTCTTACTGGCTTGGTAGACGAAACCGAGGTTGAAGATCTCAGTAGCACTCTCTCCAGAATTGACGCACTGACCAAACTGGTCAAGAAATCACCCGAACGAGCTCGAGATTGGTCTGTTATGGCTTCTACAACTCGAGGAATTATGAAACCTCTGACTTTGATCACTGATGTGGCAACTCGCTGGAATTCAAAGTACTATCAGCTTGAGAGGTTTGTGCTTCTCAAACCAGTGGTGAAATTCAAGTGTGATGAAGATCGACAACTACACAAGTACCGACTCTCCAATGCAGAATGGGATGTTATTGAACACATGCTCGCATTCCTGAAACCCTTTGATGTTGCCACCAAACGAGTCAGCAGCTCTTCTTATCCTACCTTCTCCGAGGCCATGCCAACTTATGAGTGGCTTATGGATAGACTTGATCTGGTGTGTTGATACTCTTATTGTCTCTTTGTATTCCAACCCTTCTTCCTTTTGATCAGCTGACTCTTGTTGATCTTTTCTTAGGCTAAAATTAGATACGCCAACCAGTCGATCATCCCAATGCTTGAACCGATGCGCCAAAAACTTCTCGATTATCAGACTCAAGCTTTCAAGAAACCTGTCTACACATGTGCAGCACTTCTTGATCCTCGACTCAAAATGGAGGCATTTTCTCAAAAGACACGTGATGCAATGAAGATGAACCCGGCTGACATCAAAGAATCATTCATCAAACATGCTACCCCATTTGAAGTTCCAGCCAACCCAGATATTGAGTCCCCTTCTTCGGACCATGAATCCAATCACACCGACAACTCTCACGACTTTGACAATAACAGTGAGGGCCCAAACCTGTTCTTATCAAAACGCGAGGTGAAAACTGTTAGAGACGAGGTCACCACTTACCTTAGCCAACCACGCGAGCTTGAACGCTGCGATCCGTTGGAATACTGGAGGACCAACGAGACCGAATTCCCAATCCTTGCTTGAATGGCCCAATGTTACTTGGCTGTTCCAGCCACGGCTTGTCCATCTGAACGAGCTTTCTCTTCTGGAGGACGGGTGATGAGTGATCACCGAGCATCAATGCTCATATCTACTTTGGAGGCCCTGGTATGCTTGAAAAGCTGGGATCAACTTTTATGATAATCCGAGTCTTACCTAGTTATTTTCTCTCTTGTATATATGTATGTATCATCGCCTCTCTTACCTACAGTCTAGAAATTTCATTATCTGACGCATATCGATTCAGATTCCAATATCACACTTCAAAATCGAATTAAATATCCTTTGCGATGTCTTCAAATCGATCTTGGAGAGGCTACAAAATCCATTTGCAATTCCAAATAGAATTCGATTCATACATTACATAGAAAAGAAGGTTTTTTTATCGGACTTGATGATCTATCATCGTCATCGTAGGACTTTTTAAAGCATTCTCATTCTAACCCAACAGATCAAAACGCGTCTATCAAACACTCGAAAGTCGATCCAGAAGATCGAAAGTTTTATCCAAAACTCGATTCGGTATACAACCCAAACCTCACAAAAGTGACAGGTAAGATTGCAATTCTTTCTACAATAAAACATTTGTTACCACTTTCCCATCTTTCAACTGTATGAGAAAAAACAATCTCAGGGAAAAAGCTCAATATGTGATCACCTTGATCGATCCATCAGTTGTAAAAACCTCTCAAGCTTGTCAAAATTTGTCTTCTTGAATTGTTTCATCAGAATGAAAGACTGAAATCAAAAGTCATAATCACATTTCTGTTTTCTGGTACTCGCTATTTTCATTTTTATCTTGTTTTTTTCATTTTGAATGATATACATATGTTCTTGTTGAGAAGAGATTTGTTTCCTCGATGATTTTTTTCACACACGAGGAAAACCATTTGGGCAGTCGGCCGGCCGAACATAACAGGCTGCTCGCCTGTGCCCGAGCCGAACTTGCCTGAGCCTCGGATGCCCGTCAAGGCTTGGGATCGGGCGAGAGCCTTACTGGCTGTGCGGGAAACTTCTCAAGCGATGATGTTGGAAAAATTATCTACACATTGACAGAGGGAATATTTCTTTGGAATGCTCAGTGGATCGATGCGTGCTTCTCTCAGCGGTGAAGTGAATATGAAAGCTCATCTCGTTATCCATCTCGTCTGTTGCTTCTATCAGTATCCTTGAAGGATTATTCGTCGCTTTGACTTTTCACTATACCTCCCGATGGTACCTGATGCTCAACTTGCTCAATGGGAATCGCTTCACAGAGAAGTCGATCGACAAAGTAAACTCACCCCTACACCATCGCTGCGTGTAATCTTTGTGTTGTGTATCTTTCTAAGTCCCCTATCAGGTATTTTATACGGAGTGAGTGCGATTAAAAGGTTGTCTAATCGCTCTGAACGGTGGCTGGTTCGAAAGGATCCCGGAGGATTCTACCATCCAAACTCTTGTGTCGTGATACCACTATGGGCGACGTTGTATACCATAGGTACGATAACTTCCTGAAATCTCATAGAATAGGTTGAACAATGCACTGATATTACATTTTCATGTTCTGTTTAGCCGATATCATCAGCTTGCTTACTTGCTTTTTCAATCTGGACAGTTATCCACGCCCCCTTACTACTGCAATGGAAACTGTCAAATACGCATTCTTCTTGGGGATGGGTGAGCTCTACATAAATTGCTCAATGATCATATGCGCTTAATTCAGTGGTATCCATTCCTCCGTATTTTTCCTTTGCTAATATTTTCAATCTTGATTCTTCGACTTTCCACAGCTTGGACAAAGGGTAATAAGTGCTTCTTCAAGTGATCAGTTTTTTCCATATTGATTGATATTTTCTTTTCTCTGACTATCCTCAGTCTGGGCAACCATCTACGTAGCGCCACGTTCAAGGTTTCAAATCCAGCACAACAAACCTATCCTATCCAGGTCTAATTCTAAATCTACTCGAATGCGACGCTGGCTACTACCTAGAATCTTCAATCTTTTTGTAGTCTTAGGTTATTTAGTCCCATTGATACTCAGTGCACTCTTATGCGCCTGGACCACAATAAGCATGAACCAAGTCGTAAGTCTCTTGTATGAATACGAGGCGGTGAATGAGATCGCAACTGGCCCTCTTTTGTCCTCTGCGAAGGCTTCAAACATCCAACTGGCAAAAAGCTTGACATACCTAATCTCGATGAAGAACATATCTCGAACACTCACGAAAAATTTGCGCTCAGGGTTTTACATTTACTTCTTCATTGCTGCATTCATCTTTATCGCCTTATCACTGGCTACTGCTCTCATTCTTCGAGCTCTTTATTTTCAACTCAGAGTTCTGAAGAGAGCAGCTCTAAGACCACGACGCATGTCCTCTGACATTAGTCTGTCTTACCCACGAATACCTGGAGCAGTCCGTCTTACACCTGACCAAGCCTCAACCTTCACATTTCGAAGATCACCTGGCACCTCAACTGAAAAACGTTCAGAATCACCTTTCTCGAATATTGAACCGTGTCAGATAGTTGACAAATGGTCAGATTGGCTTCCTACATTCAAAAGAGGAACTGGGATCGATGCGATCATGTGGCGTCTACCAGCTTTTAGTGAAAAGTTTGAAGAGTATGATATGGATATAAGTCTGAAGGTAGAACAATATCGCATTTTGAAGACATATACAGTCAATATCATATGGCAACAAGCTTTGACATGTGCCATTTCAGTCTCTTATCTTGCCATGCTCGGGCTTATGAGTAGGTTATCTTTTTCCCTTCGGTAGAAAAAGATATATTAATTTGAATTTCCACTTGTATAATCTTTTCAGTTACCACCTGGTGCAAAGAAGAACGTGGAATTCCACTACCTCGGGTGTTATTGATATTGGTGGAATGGTCGAATCTGACTTGGAATCTCGGGATGGGATTCACTCTTGGATTAGTGAGTCTGAATATTATGATTGCTATTCTTTTGTTTTTTACTTCTCAGAAGGCTATACATACTAATTATAATACCCCGAAACCTTTTAGATCTCGTGTTTTGTTTCCTTTTCACCTATACCTCAACCTCAGCAACAAGAACATGATAGATTATCTTTCAAATGTCGAGAACCATCTTTGTTATAAGGATATTTTCACAACATAGATCAATGTCTTTTGTAAAACAGTTTGGAATGAATCTCGGAAATCGGTGGAATAATTATTGAGAGCCTTGTCAATTTGTGTTAATGTTCATCCTCGATTTGTATCTCTAATTCATATCTGTGGTGATTTGTATGTATGCTGCAAACTTTGATTGAATTACGTCATGCCATCATGTTTACGAAATAAAGGGTTGTATTGGGTTATCAGGATTTGATTGGGGTGGAGGAGAAAAGTTGAATCAACTTGAATCAAACTAGTTATGCTTAACAAAATCTGCAAACATGGTTCTTGCAGTGAAACTCGCAGGAGAAAAAAGCAAACTCAAGGAGGCTTGAATGTTAACTCGAATCTTCTGTACTTTTTCTCAGCTGGCTCTACCATCAAGTTTGAGTGGTAAGTGAAGTGGAAAATCTATAGCCTCTAAACTTGTTGTCGCATGTTCAGAAGTCGCAGTACGAGAACGTCGGGCGCGACGTGACTTGGATGGTCTTAATGAGTTCGAGGGAAGTAGCCATTCATCAGTATCAAGCCTTTTCATCGCTGACAGCCATGGCGGTTCACGAACGGCCGTCGAACGACCTGGTGGGTCGCCATGGCTTACCCCAAGAGAAGCTAAGGAGGTCTCAAGGGTAGCTCTATGAGTTTGGTGCGGCAAATCTAGTGAGGCGGTACGGTGAGCGCGTCCTGGTTGCGAGAAACGAGCGATGTCCGGGTGACGTGCTCAGACTGACACCATGAATGAGAAAGCCCTTGATGGTACCAAAGGAGATGGACCGTCGAACATCGATGGGGAGTTCATGGACTTGATTTCGCTCCATCCTTCTGGATCCAATCAATGAGAATACAGAAAAGATATTCATGCGCTTATTCATATACAAGGCGTACCTCTGAGCACACTCGCTAGTCGACGCCAGACCCGAACTTGGTGTACAATGTCAGTAGATCAGAAAATCTCTTGTGAGTCTGGGTACTCAGAATCACCAAGTGCATCCAGAGCTGGTCCACCAACTAGGATGTAGCAATTCGAGAATCAAAAAGCATATGTCATGATGTAACATCAAAACAGCTGAGGAGAGCAAACAGATACAACATGAATCAGACTCTTTGGTCCCCACTTTACTCTAGGAAAGTGTGTTCACGAAATGATACTGACACAAGTTGTTGCATACACTCTCGTAGGAGATATGGATCCACATCAGCCTGCTTGGAAATCTTTTGGACGGTGGCTGTCGATGAAAGGAACGAGCTACGCTGACCAGCGTGGTCCGAGGATGTCAATATCATCAATCGCACTCCACATAACGGATGAAAATGTACTGAGAGATTGGGCAGGATTCAAAATTGTGCTTGTACCTTGTACATACCCAATTCCCAAGTCACATCATCCCTCAATCTCACAAGCGGGGCTACTCAATAGGTACATCCCAATCATCGACTCTTGGGGGGTTCCCATAAAGTGGGAAAATTTTGAGGTCCAACGTCCGACTTGAACCGAACGAGATCGAAAGCTCAGATATTGAATTCAGTTCTTCGAAGAGCCTGTCAAGCATTGATCTTTCAGGGGCTTGTGTTAAGCTAAGGTGAGTCTGGTCCTGATGACAAGGAAATTGTTTGCTGATCTTGAAGGATGTGTGAGGCAGCGAGTCAGTGTCTTCTCTATTGATAAAACAGTATGACAATACTCACTTCAAATGACCTCAAGAGTCTACCCGTTAGCTAGACAGCTCTGCATCTCGATCGAATACAAAACACAGATTGAACATCAGAAAGTTTCGTTCATATTGAATTTCCACTAGTTCCGCGGCTATGATGACAAGATGTCCGCAGAGATGTTTCTTCAGGTGGATCAGATAGAGTAAAACAATTTGCCAGCGCGAGTTTTATTTTATCCAGTTCATATCCTTTACTAGATATCAGACGATGGACAAAACTGACTTTAGGTAAGACGCAATCGAGCACATCTGAGAACTCCAATAAAGTTTCAACGCTTCTCACTCTTGAGCCATCATCAGCCAATCCAAAACTTTGATGTCTCGTGTTCTTAGATTTAGGTCTAGTTTCTGTAACACCGTGACCAACCGATCCCTGTGGAACTTGATGAGATCTCACAAACTTTATCTCCATCCCATCGTGCAAAAAATAATGCTCTTGAGCGTGGAAGATGTCTTGAGCCAGCTTGAAGGGCTGGAGTGGAGCCATCTTCTGAATCAGTGATGCGGGCAAATCGAATCCGAAGTTGAAGGGGTTCATTTATACAAGTTCCAAGCTTCGACGGCAGGATTGCGCTGGGACTAACTTAACACAAGTCCCTCGCTAAGCCAATTTTACCGGACAGGTCCGAGGCCAAGCCTCGGACCCGTCCCGGCTGTTGCGATGGACTTTGTTAAGTTAGGCGCTGGGATAGGAGCGAGCTTCTGGACACGGGGATAGGACAAGGAGCCAACGTGACGTCGCAGTGACGAAGTGTAAGTTTTCCATCATTACAGCTTTATTGAAGCTGTTTACCTTTTTTGAGCACCTGTTTTCGAGAATCATCTCTTTACCATTTCTATTTCATAGGACGCACGATTCCCTCAAATTGGTCATCATATCATCTGTGGATGATTCTGAACTCTTGTTCATTTTCCCACTTTTGATTATCATCCCTCAAGTGTTTGAACGTTCATCTTCACAGTGGTGTACAGTGTCAAGAAACATCAGCCCCATCAGCAATGTGATCCATAAATTCTAATCAAATGTCGCTCGTCAAACAAATAATTCCCCTTTCGCGGCTTTCAAACGTCTTTGAATCCTCAAGAGATCACATTGTTTCGAATTTACGGCAAAGCTAAACGTTTCAGGCAGTGGTGTTTGATATAAAGTACATAGTACCTTTTTGCAAAAAGCACGGTGCGATCCACGCCATAAGTTAGGCATCGGCCATTCCCTCGCTGACGCTCGGTTGAGCAGAGTTATTGGCTTGGTCAGGATTGGTTGTTCACATGAAATGAGATAATCCCAGGATACGTCCACTCGCTCTTCTCTACCGAGTGCCTTCAAGCTGGCTGAACTCTTCTGAACCGTAATATTGAGGTCTGAGAATATGCCAGCTCCGCCACACGTTGTGGGCACTCACTCGTTGTAGGATTTGATCGACCTCTCCTTGTCATCAACTTCCATTTGACACCTTTCTATCTGCGTTAATTGGCTCAGAGAGACGCATGTAACAGAATGCCTTTAAGAACAAATCATCTTTCCAAGCTGAAACACTCTTCTTAGCTGTAATTAAAAGATCCACAGACCTTGGATCTAGTGACCTGTGGGAACAGATTTCCCAATTAGAATTCCAGGTTTCAGTGTGATCAAGTCTGTGACAGAAGCATGGTGGTGTGTCACTCTATACTTGTAGATGAAAACCATCATCATATATATAACGACTATCAGAGGTTCGACTTGAAAGGTCTCTAGGTACTGCGTTTCTTTCATTCAAGAGCAAATTTCTTCTAAAAACTATCATTCAAATGCTTACATCTGTGTGTCAAAAGTTGATCATTTTCATCTCGCTTTACCGTTCTTTTATAAGTAGTACAATTATCTCAAAGCGAGAATTAAAAGGTTTGTCTCCATTCAATTTTTCAAAAAGCGTCATATCATCATCACCAACACTAACTCAAGTGTGAATATATTTCGACGTCGTTTTTAACATAGATCCCAGGACAGTTTTAGGAGAGGTTTTATCTTTTAAAGCCAATGAAGCGTACAATTTCTATGACGAGGATTACAAATCGACTCACCAAGTGCCTTTCCGAGACTTACGAACGTTGACAGAAATACCAGATTTCGAAACATATGGATTTACTTATGTCACCAAGAGACATGTGGAAGGAATCGAGACTTTGAAACAGTTATCTGATCAGCATGGAGCTGCCTTGAAAGCAGATTCAGTCAAACTTGTTAAAGATTTGTGAATACAAAACCCTTTTCGTAAAACAATTGCTATATAAACAGAATAGTGGCTGATTGATTGTTTTGAACACGTTGATGTACATAGGACGGGTGCTACATCAGCAGTCTCCTATTCAAATCAGTTTAGACACCACACAAAACGATTTTCATCACAAACACTTCCAATGATACACTCAGATTTGTCAACAGCAGGGGCCAAATTCATGAAAGGTCACCTCCAAGAAAGGTTTTTGAAATCAGAGGATCCAATAGAACAAGAATTCGGAGAACATCTATCAAGAGGAGGTGAAGATGTTGTGATTTTTAATGTTTGGAGACCGATTCAAAAGGTTAAAGACAATCCTCTTGGGCTTTGCAAATGGGATTCAGTCTCAAAGGAAGATCAATTGAATTGGAAAATTAGACCAGATAGGCAATCAAACTCGATTCAAGTATGGGACTATAAACCAACTCAACAATGGTTCTACTTATCTGAACAAGAACCTCATGAAGTTTATGTATTCATCCAACACGATAGTAGGGCGGAAGATGGTCATGGTATCAGTGTTCCACATGCTTCATTTAGGTTTGAAGAGGATTATAAGAATCAACCTAAACGAATGAGTTTTGAATCTAGAATCATTGCAATTGTTCCGAAAAAAGATAATAATTAGAAAGATTGAACCAAGAGTTGAAATCAATATTTGACCAAAGGGGTTTTGACAAGAAGAAAAACTTAGTAAATTGTTAAGCTACAATTTACCTGAGTTTTTCTTTATGAGAACATGACGAGGATGTCTACTAATATTTCACTGTTTGAAAACGGACGACTTTCTGCCCTCTATAGCATCTTTCAACACAAATATAATTGCGCTTTTGACGCTTGGAATAACACGCAAAAAAGTCCTACAATGTGATTCCTCTCTCGTCGATTCTTCCTCACGGAGAGCGACTTAGTCGCTTTACGTTTTGATCATAGTCACAACCTTCTAAAAAGGCAGGGAGAAGCAATGTATTGAATATCATGCCCTTAGCTTTGTCCTCTATCTTTTCATCCACCTCATTATCACGAACAACACGACAGCCTTGGAGTTGGATGAGAGTAATTGGTTTGACAGCGGGTATCACTATTCCAGAATTCCCTTACCTCTTACTGAGGAAAACATTCACATCTAGTCAAAGGACAATAAGGATATGCCTATCTCCTCAGACATTATTTGGCCAAGTGGCAGTGGTGGTATAATCTCAAGCCTTTTTGGGTTGAACTCAGTCTGGATTATCAGAGTCAATATAGATGGCAAAGGAAAAAACTCAGGATCAGGGATTGATATCACACCTTTCAAAGAATCTTGAACCTACATTAAAAGTCATGAAATAGATAAACTAGCGGAGGAATCCATGTCATTCTTTCATATACTTCAAACCTTTATAGTTATCTTATTGAACCTTCATCCTTGGTAAGACTCATCCAAATAAGTCCTACTAAACTGAGGATATTGTTTCACAAAACAAGTAATGACTCAAAGTTTCTTTTGCTTTACTAAAGATGAGAGGAAAGTGATTAGATGAAACAAAAAAAGAATTAAATTGATGAAATAAATAAATAAAATTTCTGCGAGAAAACAAGTTGAAAAAAATGTAAACAAGAGGTTAATCAAGTTTGGACTTGAACAAATTCTACTGTCACCATTCACATCTCACTATAGAATTTGTTTAAGAATTCTAAACCGGCCAAAACTTCAGCGTGCGTTTTACCACCATGAATCACCTCAGGAGCCGAAGAAGGTAATCCGAAAGGAGAGAGTAAAGCTTCGTGAATCGTATAAAGCTTCTCCTTGTGAGTTGGAGTAGGTTGCGTCTTACTCAACCACCTTGGGGTGGCCGAACTTGGTCCGGTTGACACAATTCTTCTCGATGATGGAGTCGAAGTTGGCATCTTGGAACTACAGCCAATGGGTGATACCACACTAGATGTGGCTGGAGACGATGAAACAGTGAGACCCGGTGTGAAGAAAGTTGAAGACACTTTGCTGGGCAGTGTCTGTCTGTGCTTTCTTGGGACTCGGACTGGCGTAGAAATTGACCAGTCAACCAAGTCGGCATCGTTTTGAGATTTGTGCATCTCTGATCTCGGAAAGTCGATGCCTTTTGACTTTCCGTGTTGTGAAGACTGAAGAGAAATCACATAGAAGTATAAGTATGTATTTTTAAAAATCATCCGTTGTACGTGGAAATAGAAGAATCAATCAAGTCGGACAGGACGAACCGAAATAACATCCTTGTCCGCACTAGGTCCAGCGACTTCCACCTTGGTCTTTACAGTTTCAAAGGGGTGAATGACCTTTTGGCTGAAATTCTGGTTTACGGGGAAACCAGCAGGAACGCGGATAGGAACTTTCGTCTATGTGAAGGGAACATGTATGTCAGATAAGATCAAAATGTAAGAAGCCAGAAGGTTGCTGAGAACATCACCTACCGATCGCTGGCTTGCGTATCGGCGGGACGTCGCGTTGTTAGCCGACCGAGCCAAAGCTGCCAACATTGGATCGGATTGGTCCTGTTAAATAGACAAGATAAAAACAGAGATGAGCTTCAGTTATCAATGACAAAACAAAAAATGAAAATGTAACGATATCCACGTAAAATCAATCAAGTGGAACGTAAACAAACCAAGTCTTCATCTTCATCCGCAACAACTTCGTCCGTCTCGTTGTTTACATCATCAAAGGTACAAAGTACCCTTTGACTAAAGTTTTGATTCACTGGGAACCCGGCTGGAACACGGACAGGAATCTTTGTCTATGGGAAGGAAGTATACAAATCAGATCAGATGAAGATGGAAGATCACAAAAGTTAGTGAGAACATCACTTACGGATCTTTGAAGAGCGTATCGGTTGGAAGTTGAGGTGTTGGCCGATCGAGCCAAAGCCACCAAGAGCGGATCACATAGGTCCTGTCAAAGGAACAAGATGAACAAAAAGCGACGAGGTTTAATGATCAGTTATGAAAAGGTACAAGACAATTCCAACGACAGCAACGCTTACCAGTGTGGGTTTCACCACCGGTTTCGGATGAGCCATTTCATAGGCTTTGGCACGCTAAAGTAAAAAATCAAGGTTAACAAGCGAATCACAGTTCCTTCGAAAGAGAGTTGCGAAACTCACTTTAAAATTCGAGGACGAGATACCGACAGCCTTGTTAGGCTTATCCGATAATTTGAGTGCTGATAAAAATCGTGCACGGCGACAGGGTTGGTTGGATTGAGAATGCATGTCGAAGAATTGCGGTTAAAGGGATGGGTAAAGGTAAGAAGATAAGAGTGCGTGGCTTTCTAAAAGGTAGTCAAGAGTAGATAAGGATGTTTTTAAAAACTAGTAAGAATAGTAGTGGTAAATGTGTTTTTGAATGTTAGAGTGGATCAAATGATATATCAATGGAATGATGATTAGAAATGTTCTGTGGTGAGCAAAAGGGTGAGTATTTATATCGAATTTCCTACGACCAGATGCTGATGAGCAGGCTCTCTGCCTTCATACAAAAACTGGCGCATGGATGGGTTTAACATCCAATTCTCAAGCAGGGACAAATTTACATCTACGTTGTCCTGAATATTTTCCTCGCCATCTTTTAGTTGCGAGCTCGGGAAGGATCCCTTGAAATATGTCAAGTAGGAAACTTGGAGTCACACTCAACAAGGGCAATAAGCATGGCGACTTTCGGTTTTAGTCAGTTCTTATTCGAGATCCAAACATATTCTATCCATCACATGTTTCCTTAAAGCACCCGATATGTTGTTACCTGGAAAGTTGTTATCCGAGTTTTGTAGATCAGGTCACAAACATATCGACTGAATAGTAAGATGGCTGGTGACCGTTTAGAAATATAGAACACTGCACTAAATCTTGCAGGAGAATCAATCAGAGGCACTAACAAGATCAACCACAGACTATAACCAGGTTCAAGGAAAGAAATCGGAGCGTACTGCCAACACGCGAATCGTACCGCAGCGCAATACGGACAGCGGTGCGGTGCGGTACGGTATGTGCCCCGTAGGCCGCGGTACGGGTAAATACGTTCCGACCGTACCGTAGTGTCAAAAAGCTGGGATAATATGGGGGTGGTGCCGTACCGCTGCTCAGCATTTTCTTGTGTATGATGACCGTAGGCCGTAGTGCCTACACCACAAAGACACTTATTTGCGTCAGGGCGTCGGGCATGTCCGAGATTGGGGACACGACCCGACGTCCACTAACGGGGCGCTGGCTAGACGTCTGAGCGCGTATATATCCGCACCGCATCCTGAAGATGCACTGATGTCATCCTAGCCAGGATGACATGCAAGCACACAGTGCTTGGAAGACCTACAGATGCCCAATCAAGTGGGCACCCTTCCAGCACATTGCGGACAACCACTCGCGATCCAAGATCTGTCGTCCACATGGTGGTAGCAGACCCGGGTATCCAATGAGCCCCACAACGATGGACCGGCTAGATGCTGGAAGGCTATCGCTCTGACATCCGGTGGTTCTTTTTGCTTCCCACCACAACAACAATCAACCACTGGTATGTATTCCTTTCTCTCTCTCTCAACTCTCTTTTTTCTTGAATCTGACCTTAGAATTGAATGTTGCTCACTTTACTCGACTTTAGAATCAAATCTCATCCAGCCTCGATTTCCTTATTCTTGTAATTGAATATTCACGGTCTCGACTCTCGACTACTTTACTCACTTTAACTTTACAAAACATCTCATTGAACATGTCATTTGCTCAAATCATGGAATTCAAGTATTGTAGATAGTTGTCAGCTTATCATTGACATTACCTCATTATTTCATGTTCAAAATCGTGTTCTCTGTAGATCTTGAAAGATTCCTTTCTGACCACTCTTTGGAATACCAGTTTTTGCTATGTATGGAGGGAATAAAGGCTGGCAACAAGCTCGATCACCCACCTACAAGTCTTGAATGGGACAGCTTTTTTCAAGCATTTAACATCTTATTTTGTTTTTTGCTCTCCTCAATCCTCACAATATTTGATTAATGAGGCAAGAATGGTTTGACCAAAAGTTCGATTTGAAAGTTTAGCCTGATGACATCATCGAATGAATTGTCATGTGATCAATACCCGACGCTTTGACCAGGTTTGTAAACCAAAGCGTCTTCATCTCTTTACTTCGATTTTTGTCTTCTTTTGTCATCTCCTTTGATTTTCATTCCCTTCCTCTCTTTTTGCTTCAAATATCACTTCTTTGGATTTTAGGATCTCTAGGCCATACAGCCGCAGCTATCGTTCTCAAAAACACTTGCACCTGTTCTTCTCGTCGGTATGTTCTGCTCTTGGCTATTTGAGCCAACATCAAAACGGTTTTAGGTTCAATAACCTCAAGTTGGCGCTTGGAGTATCACATAAACATAAGTACCATGTATCATCCTATCTTTCTTTCTACACATCAACCGATCAAATTTGTAAAATGTCTCCTGACTCGAAAAACCTTTGATTTACAACTATTTACAAGCTGCTACAAAAGCTACACAGACAAGTTCAGATCCCATTGTTTCAACTCTAGTAATCGGTAGGCCTTATTTGATGTACATCTTCAATGATATGCTCATCTGGGTTAGACTCATCCTGTTCCCTACATATCTCTGGATTTCCATCATACTTATACTTTGTTTTTTCATTTGAAATAGGCCGATTAGATTGAATTATTATTTTGATGGAAACCTCATTGGCCAACATCAACAAAGAGCTGACAGGTAACAGATGGCAGGGATCGCAATAAACTTCGTTTTCTCAATTTTAAAATTGTATCAAGTCAGGAAACGGGTTCTAAATTTGAAATGCGGTAAGTATCATCATCAAAATGAAAATGAAGATGATGATCACAAGAATCATCATATTGAATCTTATCTCAAGAGGAATCTTTGTTCCACTTTCCTCTTGACTTCGGTCTCACCTCTTTACAAGCATGTTAAACTGATTAATCCTGTTTGATTGGATCTACTGGTTTCCGATGACAATCAATTCAAGACAGTTGCGATATCCTATTTCCTACTTCCGCGGTCGGCTGAAGTCTGTAGCAAATGTCAGGATCATTGTTAAATGTGGGTGTGATTGATTGATCATGGTTTCATGTTATCATCTTATTAGGGTTATTATTTTTTGGTTGTTTTTGGATACGCATTACAAGCAGTTTCATTATGATGATGCTTTCTGTGGAGTGTTATATCAGTAAAATGAATCTGAAAGAAGCATGTTTATGGCCTCAATTAGTCATATGAGGAAACAATCCATGGATACCTCTAGAACAGCCTGTGAGATTAGGTTGTGATACATGAAAACAATCCAAAGCTCTACCAGTGCTCGACAGCCTAGATGCCCAGGAGACAGCAGGAGAGAATCATCTGGGAAGCAGTGCTGTGTGTGCCCTCACGACAAACCTCGAGGGATGTCATATGGATGTCGGTTCGCGGGTTCTGGGGAGCCCGATGGGCTCTGCTCAGGCCTCTGAACGTCGGAATCCGACGGACATTTCTCAGTGTGCTGTGGGGGGACGTCCGTCCCCCACCAAGAGAAATTGGACATCCGTTGGACATCCAACTGTCCTTGTGGTGTACGGTCACTTCGATTACTGATGCACATCCGCCATTGGCCCAATTGGGCCATGTATTTCCATGAATCCCAATTGGATTTTGCCTGCAACACGCACTTTCAAGCAAGGGAGAGATAAGTTCCTCCCCCTTCCCCTTTTTCTCGCTCGTGCCACTTCATTTCCACTTCTTTTGTCTTCATCCGATTCATAGCTCCATTGTTTTATTACTTCTATTCCGGCTCGTTTGTCCTCCGAGTTCGAGTCGACTCCAATTATATATTCTTTTAACAACCTACCATCACATTTATTTTTTAATTCTTTCATATGCCAAAAGCCAAAGGGACAGCACAAGACGCCCAATCGATGGCATCTTTTCTAGCTCCTCCCACCTCGCAGCTTGCTCTCCCTAACTCCACTCAGTCTTCCAGTTCCAAACCACCTAGTCCAACTCCTGGGCCTTCTCGACCAAGTCCCGCTCGTCACTCCCCTGGGTTTGTACCCAGTTTGGGAGACTCGCGTCGGTCATTGTACCAACCTACCGATGATGGCGAAAGTGACAACAAAGGCTCATCTAATGGGGACCAAGATCCAGAGGAAGACGAAGAGCCCGCTGTAGAAGAGCCTTGTACACCTACTCAATCAAAGAAGCGCCCAGCAAAAGGCAAGGAGAAACCTCAACAAGCTAAGAAAGCTCGAAAGACCCAGGAGAAGAGGAATAGTACTAACACTCGTGCTAAAGTGACCGTAAGTGCCACACTCCTATTCCATCCACATCTACATTTATCTTTTCTAACTCAGTTGTTTGTAATGTCAGGACTTCACTGTACCAAAAGGCGTTGATGTAGATCAAGTCAGTCCCGGACTACCAGCTACTAAGGCTTTCAAGAAAACCACAAGCACTGCCGTTCGACACTTGTTATCCTATTACAAACCGGTTCCTGTACAGATCCAAGACGATGTATGTTCTTTATTTCTAATCAAACCTGAACGCGATGTTAACTACACGATGTTAACTGACTTATATACTTTAATTACAGCCCATAGGTGTCCTTCGAGGATATGAATGTAAATACTGTCCCGAAACTCTCACCCGCGGCACAGATGGCAACAGTAACCTTTACGGCCATCGAGATGGCTACAAGAACCGAGAACCTTGTGAAGGATGTCATATCGCCATGAAAGAGAAAGGACATGGACTTCCACCGACCTATCAAGAACGTATGAAGGCACTTGAGGACGCTTCAACAACTTCAGGCGCTAAAGGATCAGCAGCATTGATGAATGCCTTCATGACTCGACCACCGTTCAGCGTGGACATCCTTAATGTCCTCTTGGTGATCTGGGTATTGAGGCATGCTCTCCCATGGGTTAGATTTCAAGATCAAACCCTCCGTGCAGCATTTCACCTAACACACGCGAAGGCTGATCTAAGGAGTTCTATTTCGGCAGCCACCACCGCAAAAGAACTTTACTTCTCTTTACACGACCAGCTTATCAGCAAAATTAAAGTATGTACAAATGGTCTAAGAATTTGAAACATACCATTAATCCAACTAACTTGATTTTGGACACTGCAGGATAATAAAAGCAAGATTTGCCTTGTCCACGACGGATGGACAACAAAAGGCAATCGTTTGGCATTTATAGGAGTAACTGCCACTTGGATCGATTCCGATTG